ATCACCCCAAGAACCAAGACGGATCCACCTTTGAGTCACTAGGATCCAACGACGAAATGGTTGACCCCAATGCCTTTGCAATTGGAGATGACGAGGACGAGGAGGATGAGGACGAGGACCTGTTGACCATGGATACATCACCTTCCGCCACTCCTACAAAGGCCAAGAAGCCCGCGAACTTGCTGAGCCCTGACGACCAGAGCTTGTCCAACGACAGCGGCGACAACGAATCCCGTCGACGTGTGTCAAGGGCCAAGGCTGAGGCAGCCAATGCAGCGCTTGACCCAGCTCATCCCCTTCACATCACCTTGCCGACGTTCCGAATGGTCGTGCTGGCCGACGAGCTTCTCGAACAGTTCTTTGAGTCATCCTTTCCAGCATCGCTCCACATCATCGAAGGCCTTCAGAGCGCCAACAGCTCCTCGTATGGCTCCTCTCTTACCACGTTCTCCAACCTGGGCTTCAACACACGATCACAGGCACAGGCACAATCCGGACCCATGGGCGGCGGCCGTGGCCTGCGCGGCGTTTTGGACAACATCGTTACCGACGGAATGCGCGTGGCAAGTGAGGTGCGCAGGCGGATGGAGGAGGCCCAAAGGGAGCTTGAAAAGAACGCTCTGCCTAGCCAACGGACGGAGGAAGACGAGGAAGACGATGATGATGTTGGTGTTGCCATTGGCGTTAGGAAGGGCACGGGAGGTGCCAGTGCAGATATTGAACGTCGATCTGTCATGAGCGCAGACCGCGACCTCTTGGATGGAGTAGACGCGGAAGTAGGTTCGGGGGCGGCTTCGAAAGAACCAGGACAGAGTTCCAACTTATTAGAGGTGGACGCAGCGGCGGGACGACGCCGAGCAGGCAGCGCCTCGACAACAGGGGGGCCGGGCGTGTTAGAATTCGAAGGGTAGCGGGATAGCGGAAGTATGAGGGTTGGAGATGGATGTCACGGCCATGTTTAGGTAATTGGACCACTCTGTGGGAAATGAAAGCACTGAAACCGAGAGGTCTGCATTGCCGCCGGCTTCCTGTCTCTCATTTTGAGTATTTCCTTGTTTCCTTGTCTCAGATGGTGTCAGACTGGATATGGTGGGAGCAAGTGTACATGTTATTCACAGAATATGATAGAGTAAGGGGAGGCGTGGGATTTGGTTCATGGCCCCGTGGCCGACTGGGTCGTTGTCTTTTCTGTCTTTCCCTTGTGTTATTGGGGGATTATGGTCTGTTACGGTCCTTTGCTTAGACACAAGATACATACAATACATGGAATCATATCTTCCAATCCTTAGTTGTAGCGCCTCTTTCAGCCTTCTTTACCCCTTCTTCATACATCGTCATCATGAGAGAAACGCCAAAGGTAGCAAGCCAGCCATTCCCACAGGAGGGAACTCACTTTGGCGTCGGGCCGATGTCTCTGGATATATAAACCAGACGTACAACCGCATCTTGCAAAGCCCTCCTTCGCCAAAGCCAGCTATTCAATGGACAAGACACTTGCACAATTATCAATCATGACTGCAACATCGTCAACTTTGACTGCAGAATCCTCAACCACGAGCACGGAATCGTTGGCTTTATCTACGTCTGTAGACAAACCTCGCTGCACGCACTACAAGATGAATCGTCTCCGTCATGGCTGCAAAGACCTCATGAAGACGAAGACCACAATAAGACGATCATCAAGCGGACGCAAAGCTCGCGCTATCGACGGATAGCGGCCGCCTGGCATGATGCGTGGTTGGCCATCAAGAACGGGCGTCTGCTTCGTTCACTTCGTCCTTCAACACCACTGAAAGCACGATCTTTCCGCTGGCTGATCTCGGCCGACCTTGCTCCCCATGGCGCATGCTTATACGGTCCTATCTGGCAGACCTCCCCTTTCAGTTCGCTCGAGGAAGCACCAGCAAGAAGTCCATATACATGTGGCAAAGCTTTCCATGGCATATAAGCTCAGTGTATAACCGCTTAAAGGTTGATAAGGCACCTCCTGAGATCACTTGCGGGAGACGAGCAGTTTTCTCCCAATGTTGCCAGGATTATAACCATAGCTTGATTGGAGACTGGCTCGTTATAGTCTACGTCTGGGCTGTTGATAGCGCATGGATGGAGAGGACTGCCATTTCAGACTTGGTCTCTTATGATAGTGTGACTGGGTAAGTAACAAAAGCTTATGCCTTGTACACTCTATTATACCAAACATATGGATTACTGATGTATGATTGTCTTTAGTATTCGCGCTTGGGAATTTGTCAATGCATTTGACGACACTTCAATCAAGGTTCCACACCTGTTCTACCAATGTCAAATGAGGGACTCTACAGAGCAGGATGCCGTCTACGCTGGGCACCCATATCAACGCTATAACTCTGTTCAGATACAGCCTGGAGACCCTGTACCGGCCAGACTTGCGGGCTTAAGGAGGTTACTGAATGGGCGGGCAAGACATATATATTGTGCGACATATGAGTATGAAGCGTGTGAGGACAGGCACTTCGGTAGGACTGCCTGTAGGGGGTAGAGCTTCAAAGACACTTGGATTGCCATAAGATGCGGGCTTATAGTCTGATGCTGGATTGAATCTTGAGAAACATGTGCGTATGATTGGTTCACTTCAACGCTGCATAGGTTGACTTGTCGTCTACTTTTAATCTTAGAAGCCAAAGGCGCCGGTTGTAAAAGACCTCGAAACTGCGTTGTAGAACTTGGTATAATACTTCAAGTCTCCCCGATTTGTATATCCTGAAATAGTCCTCAGCCTTTTCTTTATTGTGAGTGAGCCTTTTCTCTGGATTTTCCAAGAGTATTGTTATAGCTGATAGGGAAAAGGGATGATACATGGAAGGAGGTGCTATATACGGTTATGTCTAATTGAAAGGACTGAAGCGCCAGATTTATCTTCCATAGCTGTTTAGTACGAGGGTTTTGGCGACGTTTCAGATTTCAGGGTCTCTCTTGTCTTGTCTGGTCTTGACTGGGGGGGGATTCCGTTTCCTTTACGGCATGCAGATGCCGCGAACCCATAAGCGGCCCCTGCTCTTCCTCTTTCCCCCCCCCCCCTTCTTCTCATCAGCGAGCAAGGGGATCGCCGTTAATTTAGACGTGGAATCTTAACCTGATGAGCCCCTTTGCTAGAGCTTTGTCGCTTGCAATTTTGTGGTGAGGGTTGTCGGTAGAATGGCATTTTGTTCATTTCGTTGGGAAGAGGAAGGAGGGAGAAAAGAAACAACAAGGGGGATGTTGACGAGGGAGGGGCATTGATCGCCTATTTCCCCCCCGGGTGATGAGGATGGGATCTCGAGATTAGATTATAACGAGCCGATGGTTGAGTGCCCCATCAAAGGGCATAGTACTACTATGAGGTATGAAGATGAGGTACTACTACCGTGGAGATTCAAGATTTGTTTGGAGTCGGAGGAGTGGAGCGAGAGGGTTTTGCATGATGGGTGGATGGATGGATGGATGCTGGGATGCCGGTTGACAAGGGCAGGGGGGTTGGAGATGGAGACGTTTATTTCCTATCCCGTTGCCATTTACAGGACGGTCATAAGATCACTGGCTGGAGCTAGGAAACTCAAGAGAACAAGACAAGATATGTAAGGAAACGGGCTAGGGGAAGACTTTTGTATGAAAGTGGTTTGTTTCGTCGGTAGGGAGTCATTGTTTCTTGTTCTGGCGCGTGAGAGATTACAGTACAGGTCCTCTGATCTGGGAAGCCATAGATACGTGCTACTACTAGTGCTACCTACCTTGGCCAGGTGAGGGTTGTCTTCCTACATATACGAGATTATCATTGTTGCCATCTCCATGGCTAGATCAGGCAAGCAGTCGTCGTTGGAGGAGCCAAGAATCAAAAGATCCTTCATGGCGCAGCGCTTGCTGGTGCATACATACGTCTTGAAACTACTATATCCGATGGGAGCTCGGAGAGGATAACTTTGCAACCTGCAAGTGCAGGTTTTGCCTCTGCAAGTCACAGATGGCCAGAGCGGATATTTATCCGCAGCTCCCAAAGAAGTTGAAGTTGCGAGAGGCTTCCCTCAACCAAAAGCAGTATACACATAAGTAACAAGACAACAGACTGCATCAACCGCAATCGAAGCCCTATTGGATGGGCGAGCAAAGTAAAGTACATGTACGGAATACCTGCGAGGTGTTGCGATGCACGGCATGTTTCAGGTAACCGTGCCTCCACCGGGCGGTACCAGCTACTACCTAGCGGTACGGAGTGCCCTGATGCTGGATCAATCGGTTGCGTCTTTGGGGGGAAGCGCTTCGACGCATTCCTGGGCGAGGGCATCTGGCATTTCAAGCTGGCGCCGTCTCATTTCGGCCGGCTTTGGAGTTGGGATTACTCGCTTATGAACCTCTATGTTGTATCATGGGATAGTACCTACTCAGGTACTTAGTAGTATCAATGATCATTGTCGAGTGTTGGGTATCGTGGACGGCAGCATCGTCGATTGGTTCCCCGGTAGTTGTCCATCTGCTCTACTACCGAGCATCAGCAAGGCATCAGATCAGTGCTCTCAGCGCAGCGTCATCTGAGCGTTACCCCTCGCCACTCTGTTCCTGGATCTTCAGCCCTTTGCGGGTGCGAAATGATGCATCAATGACACGCACAGCCAAGATTGCAAGTTCCATTGCGTCCTTACTGCTTCGAGCATCTGGATTCGGGGTTCAGCACCACCAGGATCCACCTGCTCGAGCCGATAATCTCGAGTATTACTTGGATGGACTCTGTAAAAAAGGGGGGGGCCCTTGCTTTTGTTGATGTCTGCTCTGCTCTGTCTCTGCTGTGCTCTGCTCTGGGTGCTCTGCTAATAGTACCACCCCATGGAATACTGACCTGAGTGTGGTGGGCGAGTCTTGCGCTGTGTGGCCGTGTGACGGGAGCGGCCTCTTATCTTCCTGCGAGCCAATGGATGGACTGTCATCAGTTACGAGCTCCGGTCCGTAGACATCGATTCTGCATCCGCATCGTCCGGTGGCAACAGATGGCTCTCCGTCGTCGCCGGTTGCGTTGTTTGTCGCTGATCGCCCACTGACTTGCACGCCAACAAACGGGGGGGGAGGCAACGGACCCCCCCTTTTTCAGGCACTCCGTAATAGTAGTAGTACTTATCGAGGTGGTGTAGATGCACAGTGCGGAGAGGCCTCTTGCAGGGCGCCAAGGGAACTGTGCTGCTCATAGTACCGGGTACTGTAGGGGGGGCAGCTTCTCGTACCTGCTGGCGCGCTGACTGCTGCCACTCTGCCTCGTACCAGGTACAACACGCGGTTCGCACATCCAAGCAGGACGCAGAACTCAGGCACTTCCAACCTGCCTGTGACCTCAACGGTTTTTTCCCGACCAACCAACCAACCGACATATTACACACCCTCGCACTACTTACTTACTTACTACTACTACACACACGACAGACTGGGCTTCTCTTCCAACTTTGCACTGCTGCTCGCCGGATTACGGGCGGCTGATTCTGAGGAGCAACTACTGGACGGTTAGCTGCCGCTCTGGCTGGAATGACGCTAGGCCCAGCCTTGCACCACGGAATTTAACCTGCCTGCTCCCCTGTGTCGCGAGTCAACCGACTCAAGACCCCTTTGGCCTGGACACCACCATCCAAGCAATTGATAGCCATCATGTCTGCCAACAGCTTCTACTTTGCCGGTAAGCGCCTCTGCTCCTGAGTTTGCGTCGTCGTGTCGTCAATGTCCTGTTATCGTTTGCGTCCGCTGCGCCCTGTTTTCTTGTCTGGGGGGGTGTTATCTCGTCCCGATGCCGCGTTGCCGACCGCGCCGCAGCGAGAAGGAGGGAGACACAGAGCGAGAGAGAGAGAGAGAGATCAAGGAAAAAAGCACACATGGCCGGCGCCAAAGACGCGCAAAGGGGCGCCCAGGCGAATGGGAGATGACCTCCCGCCTGCATAATGACTCTCATCATCAGGTCGAAACGCTCAAGGGGCCCGAGCGGATAAGCCAACGTCGCCCAGCCAGACCATCTCGCCATTGGCCGTCCTGCTGTGTCATGTAGACGATCACGGCATGCCGCGCTGTTTCATGTTTGCCCATCGCTCGCCTATCTGGCCTGCACCCGTCCGCGACTCCAGCTGATGCCGTCTCCTATAGGGCAGCAACCCGCCTCCTCCCAGGCGCCCGGCCTGGCCTTCAACGCCGCCGGCAACGTCAACGCCAACAATAATAACACCGACAGCCTCGCCTCCAACAATCCCTTCCGCAACTATCGCGCCACCTCTCCCGGCCTCCTCGTCGACACCTCTTCCTTTCCCACGACGCCCACCTCCCCCTTCGACGACCCGATGCCGTCCCAGCGCCCTGTGTCGAGGAACCCGTTCCTCGACCAGCCTCTTGCTCCGCGGCCTGCCGACGTCGCCGCCGCCGCTGGGCCCAAGACGCAGTCTCTCACTGCCGAGGAAATCTTTGTGCGTCTTTCCCCCCGTCTCAATCGCTTCATGGCCACCGTCCCTCCTCGCCCGTCCATAGTTCTGGTGCATTGGAGGGCGAGCGGCTGGGGGATAACCCCTCAAAGCTTGTGCGACGGTAAATCGATTGCTAACGTCACTGTGTGATAACATAGGGATCCTTGACGCTCGATGACACGCCTGCTTTTTCAGCCAAGCAACCCGTCGATCCACAGCTGATCAAGAAGCGCCCTACCGACCGACCCGCGCCTCCTCGCCGTGAAAGCGAGAGCCAGGTGTCTTCACGAGCTGCTGACAAGCACCGCCCATCTCGCTCCCAGGAAGAGGCCCTGAGGGCTCGCAAGCCGCCTCCGCGGGACGCAAAGGGACCGACGACCCGCCCGAGCCTTCTGGACGATTCGCCGCCTCGCAAGCCCGTGCAGCGCCGCCCGAGACGCAACTCCGACTCGTCAGTCATGGACTTTGATAGCAAGTCCCTCACGGCCGAGGAGAAGCGCATGATTGAGGCCAAACGCCGCGAGCGTAACAAGATGAAGTCGACACGTCCCAGCCGCAAGATGGACATTATCGATCAGCTGGACGCCACCAGCATCTACGGAACAGGCTGTACGTATACGTGCTTTTTCCACTGTCGCTCTTCCTCCTTTCTCTCCTGCCAACTTCCTCCCGAGAAAGTTGTCTGTTTCCTGACCTTTTCCTCGCAGTGTTCCACCACGATGGACCCTTTGATGCTTTGAACCCTCATCGTAACAAACAGAACAGCAAGAAGCTGTCTCCGATGCAAGCATTCCCCGAGGGCTCCCTCAACAACACTCTCGGCGGCTCCGGCCCCCTCAATGCCCAGGCCGATCACTCGACCTTTATGGGCCACGGCAATGATGAGGCATTCCGTGACTTTGCAACCAGCGGAAAGAGCAAGAGCTCGAAAGAACCCGTCATCTTTGATCCGCAGGCTCGCGCACCGCTGGTGCATGGCGACGAAAGCCACGGCTTGGGTACCTCAACCTTCCTTGAGGGAACGCCGGCTGCTCGATCAGCCATTGTCCGCCGACAGGCAGAGCAGGCTCAGGAGATGGCCGAAGGCGGCCTGCAGCGGAAGAAGTCTCTGGCCCAGAGAATCAGACAGAGAACCAGACCCGACTACAGCAACAGGCCCATGCCCGGCCACGGCCGCTACGACTCGGACGATTACGGCTTCAGCGAAGAGAGGATCACGGTGCCCAAACCTCCCCCGCGCGAGCAAGAGCGCCGACTTTCGCCGCCCCCCATGCCACGACGAAACTCCGGAAGTGCTCTGGAGCAGCGCTCTAGCGCATAGGTCATATGGCCTGTCCGCGCCTCAGGGTCCTTTAATCGAATCTATATTACACTAGCGCAAGTAAGAACATTAACTGTAGCAACCGAGGTAGCGGCAGCACAGACAGTTTCCCCAGATTAACACTTCTCTTTCTTGTAGCAAACAATATGCACATCAACGTAGTACTCTCCACCTCTTCCATCTTCAGTCGGTGGTCTCGCCTGTACCGTCTTTCAGGTCGATGTATGTATGGGTCTCTGAATGATATGTCAGAGAGTTGTCGATGGGTTAATACTTACCCTGCAGTAGTGTTTAACATCCGAGATAAGAGAATTACCGTCTTTAGATGTTGAACAATATTGACTATACTTCTGGGTTCGGGTTCGGAGTCTTTTGTGTTGGAACGTAGTTCGGAGTGTCTCGCTTCTACGTCTGATCTTTCCGTGGCGACCGGTCGAAGTTCGATACAGCAGTGCCGGAGGAGCAGTTTGTGTTACGAGTTTGTGCAACTATGATTCGACTGACGTTAAAGGTAGACGTAGCGTAGAGGTCGGCTTTGCTTTTTTGCTTCTATCTCGCGTGTTCTTCTCTTTTTGCTTTGTTTCTTTGGGGTTTCGACGGTACGAAGGGCTTCGGGAGTTTGTACAAAAAGCGAGAAGCTCAAAGTGTCTTTTACTTTCTTGTTCTTTCTGGTAAGTATATAATTCATGTGTCGGGCGACCTTATCTTCCTGTTTCTCTTGTACAGAAGTAAACGCCCGGGTTGCCTATTGGTTCCGAGTTGGCAAAGGTAGCTGCTCGTAGAGGGTACGGGTCTGCAATTGGGGGTGGGGGACAGAGCCGAGAGAGTTGTAAGTGCACCTATAGTATGAATCCTGGTTCTTGGCTCCGTAAGCATGACAGGCAGGTCGAGCGAACAGTATGAGTGCGAGGCGATTTGCGTTTACTTATGAACGAAATCCACCGGTAAGGGGGGAGCCGCAAGGACAAACCAGCGGACGGAGGGAACTCTGAGAAGTACGCCGGGTCTTCCGGGCTACCGAACCGTAGCGAGCCCCTGCGGTACAGAAGAGGCCAGCTAG